GAATGCCAACTATAAGCGCAAATTATCATCTGGTAAAGTAGGAATCATCTGAAGGAAACCTCGGTTAATTCCACTGCTCTATAAGAATCTAGGTTCAAGGATACGATCAAGTAGCATAAATGGCTAGGCAATCTTCTCAGACTCGTTCCAGTGAGTTCGATGTAAGCTCGACGCGCAAGTCCGCCAACTTAGATCTCGGGCCAAACACATATGAAAATCTTGAGACCTGCAAAACGAACTTTGAAAAACAATGACAACAGCTTATACTGTCGTTCGTTCTTCAAAAAATGTTCACATATTATTTCAAAGCACTTAAATTTCCTTATATAGCGTACCAAGGTCGTACCTTAACTTGAATATCACAAAGCCAAAGGTTTTTCCTTGCAAATCAAAAGCAGCAAGTTGGATGAAAATCGAAAATCATCATTGTTCGTAGAAATATTCGAACTAAATATCTTTGATAGAAAAGCTTATTCTGCAAAAAAGCTCAGAAAATGAAATGAAAAAACCAAAATTAGGACATAGTAGATGTAAACACTTTTTTATCTCTTGAATACTTCTTGCTATTTTTTTTTTCATCCTCATTTCGTCAGATTATCTAGCGTATCTTCGAAGTGCTTTACCCGAGTTTTCCCTAAAACCATTTCTGAGCTGTTCTGCAGAATAAGTGTTCCGTTTTGACTCTCCAAGTACTGTAACATACATGTGAGACACGATATCATAAGAACAACATCTGAATCACAACTGAGTTTCTATGTTTTCTCAATTTTGAAGTACCAATTCGCTGTTGGACTTTTGACGTGAATGGTATGACATTTTTCTCAGCAATTACTCCCTCTACAGTTGCTCATTACAATTATTCACCATGCCGACCGGTGTTCTCCATGGTCATTCTTGGGACAACATAAAACTATTTTCTAAAAAAGCATATCTTTAGTTGCTGACCCAAAATCCATCAAGTTCAAGGCGATCCTTAATGCACCCTTGAGCAGTTTCCTCTTGGAAAAGTACAGTCCCATGCCCGCCTCAAGAAAGCATTTTCAGCAGCTGAAGTCGTTCTCCCAAGCTGAACAGTAGAATCTGAGGTGAGATGGAACACCAGTAAAACTGATGGAAGTAGCAGATCGCCAGATAGTGTGTCCTCTGGCGATGACGGCAACTTTAATCCATCCGCTGGAACTAACACCGCTAATGAGAAGGTACAATGAAGCAATTACGTCTAGAATGGAATTAGATGTCCAGCTTGTGTTGCTAACTAGGAGCCCTCAATCTACTCACATATGAGACATGCATTCCAAACTGATGGTGCACTGCTTCGGCATGCTCGCTTGCCTTTCTCAAAAGAACGATGAACCACCCACAGTTTCGATTTGGTTGCCTTCTTCATCTCTTCATGTTTACAATCTAGCAAAGTCAGATCAATATGTACAATTGCCACCAATACCCCTTCGCGCAGTGGAATACACCTGACCATTCTGCAGTGCCTTTATATGCAGAAAAAGAAAATGAAAAAAAAGATTCAGAAAGCAGTGAGTACTCAAACATACGTCATGCCCACTTACTTTGTATCTTCTACAGTTCCGTAGATTCAGTGGAGTAGAAAAGCAAACTCCTCCATTTCGGTCCGCCTCAATTGGTCCTTTTGCAATATTCATGCTATTTGAGTAATAGTCCGCGAAGACGCTCAAAATGGCGGAGTTTGTGATCCCATCCTATTCAATATCGATGAGGGTTGTGCGTGATCATGAAAGTCGGTGAGATTATGGCCATTGCTCACGCATCCAGCTCTCTCATTTTTCCATCTCTTGTCAAAGCTTTTACGTTATCAAATGTTAGCTTCTAATCATCTGAAGCGACTTTGAAAAGTAATGAAGCGTTTGACTATTTTGGGGCTTTCTGGTTTAGTGCACGAGTTAAGGGCCACAATTTCACCGATTTTCACGATCACGCACAGCCCTGTACCACTCGGTAACGATAATACTTGCGCGAGAAAAATCTGTGATTCCCAACTAACAACACTTTAGCATCTTTCTTATATATAAGGGTGAATGTGTGTCTGTCTGTTTGTCTGTTTGTCTATACAGTCTGCCCCAATCTCAACCAGGCCAAAATTGGCATGGCGGGAGTCCGCGTCGCTAGGGTTTTGCGGTCACGCCCACTTGCTGCTTCTCTGCTCTCTCTCCCATCCTTTTGCTCTCTCCGACAGCGCGCATATGCAACGCAGACCGTTAGCGCTGCGAGCGCGCAAATTTACGCCGACGGTTCGGCCTGATCCCGATTGGAGCAGACTATACGCATGTGCGAAATAGAAATCTTTATTTCTAAACCGATTTGGACCAAACTTGGCACACATACACTTCGGGGAGGGGAGCATCTTATAGGCTCTTTTCGTCCCCGATCGATATCGATTTTATCGATTTTTGTCGATTTTTTTTGCAGAGTTCACCTACGGGGCTGGAATTTGGCACAGGGGGTAATCGAGTATGCTGATTACGAAATACAATTAGTTTTTGGTATTGCCCACTATTATCGATTTCATCAATTTTTTCAAAATTTGAGCTAAAGGGCTGGGAGTTGGCACAGGAGGGGGCATGCTGATTTCGAAAAGAACACAGGGAACTGGAAATGCAGTGTAGAAGTGGGCACAGGGAAAGGACAGGGATAGGAAAGGACCTTTATTACAAAATTTTCACACCGAGCGGAGCCGGGTAAGCAAGCTAGTATGTATATAAAAGTCAAACACTGTACCTTTGTTTGTTAGGATATTTGTGTCTTATAAACGACTCCTTTATATGTGAACCGAAGAGGCTGGAACTGTTCCCCTAAATGAGACACGGCGCAAGAGATAGGTTGCTTTCCGCGACTTTTCGCTGGGTCCTTCTATCGAATTATTGATTTGTTTACTAACATCTAGGAGAATGAAAGCATATCTTTCATTTCTCCAAGTCAAAGGCAGCGTCCAGGCAGATCTGGACCTATGGGAATTTTACGCGGAAAGTACTTTTAGGGCCCTAATTAAGGCACTGCCAAAGCGGCAGCGCAGGTAGTGCTCTAACAGCTGAGATATTCCCCTCCAAACTGGACCCCGCGATCGTATTCGCCTGGATTCATGGCAATTTCGCGCCAGGATCCACGCTTTGCGCCATGAATCCATGCAAAATAAGATCGCGGGGTCCAGTTTAAGAGTTAGGGTTCCAAAATTACTATACATGTGAGATCCCCATGTGTCCAGACTTGCCTGGACGCTGTCTTAAAGTTGTAAGAGGCGGTAGATATCATTTACATTTTGCGATGAGCAGCATGTGGTGTCACGAAGCGAGGCGGTCAAGAAGGAAGGCAGATCCACCACGGATACCACAGCAGCGCTGCCATCAACTCGGAGCTGAAGCAGGAGAAGAAGAGAAGATATGAACTGAAGGAAATGGAGTAATGGCAAGCACTAAGGGAATTTGGAATGAACCCTTTGCGGCGCCACTTTGGAGCCTCGGCTCGGGCGGGACCGGGAACCGCAGCTAGTCTTATATATAAAGCTGAATGTCTGTTTGTCTGTCTGTATGTCTGCATGTCTGTCTGTATGTCTGTCTGTGTGTACGTATGTTCCGAATAGAAAATTCCATTTCTGAACCGATCCGGACCAAACTTGGCACACATACACTTCGGGCCCCGGCGGGTGTCATAGGCTACTTTTCGTCATCGGCTCAAATTTTGCAAAAAATCGATAAAATCGACATCGATCGATAACGAAAAGTGGACTGTGACACCCGCCGGGGCCCGAGATGTATGTGTGCCAAGTTTGGTCCGGATCGGTTAAGAAATGAAATTTTCTATTCGGAACATACGGCGGAGCCGGGTAAGCCAGCTAGTAAAAAATAAACCCAGAACTCGCGCTTACGAATTTTGAGCCCCAGGAGCATTTCCTACATGCAAGTGCTGTTGTCGGGAACGCAAGAATACCAGATCAAGCCCCAAAATTACCAGATAGTCAGATAATAGTGATGAGATACAAATAAAAGCAGTGGCCGAACGCATAGAACGCATGGACGACGCCACGTCCGATGAGAATAGTTTATACTTTAGAGACATTAGAAAAGTGGAAGTTTGGCGCAGTGGCGGTCTCTGCATGCGCTGAACCGCGTGTAGGCTGAGATGTTCCAACAACCTGACTCGTAATTCTCCCACGGCGATTGAAAAACATATTGGTCATTTTTGCAGGTGCGGCAGTTGATCTGTTATTATTGGTTATATCACCTGCTTCCAAACACTTGAACACGACCTCGAGGACTGGTATCTCCATACTCGCAAAAGAGCAAGAGGGAAGACACTTGATAAACGCATACATTTGGCTGAAGTGCGGGGCTACCTGGCCAATTGAAAGCCCCTCCGTACGGAGAACACTCGATTGTCGAGTGTGAGGGGAACGTGTGACGGGGCAGGCTGCACCGCCCGTGAGCGGGGCAGAGCAGAAAGCGCGCACCGCGCTCGCCTCTGCGTCGCTGCCCCTGTCGATCGGTGGCTCTGCGTCGCGTCTGCGTCAGCTGATTACTGCAGTCGCACTCATCGAAGCAGTCGGTTCACCTTCAGCACCGAGTTTGGGATCTTCTTATTATATTTTCCTCCCACTATAGGACTGTGTGGGAACCCCGAAGTGATTTCTGAAGACCTTGTCACGAGGACCGGGGCACCGGATTGTTGTGCCACGCAGCAGCTGTCGATCCACGTTCGATCCATGCTAGCTGTTTTCCACTAGAAAACTGCGACCGCTGGGGGGCGCACCTTTTTCATCTTGTTCACTGCTATGAGTCTTAAGCTGGCAAACAGAACAATCTTGTTAGAAAGGCATGAGAGATAGAATCTCTTTCGCAAGAAGGTCGTAACTTTTTGAGAGTGCTCTATTTTCGTCAGCATCCCTTATTAAAGGTAGACGCAGGCAATCCAGGCAATCAATAGTTCTTCAGTTTAAGAATGTTTTTTGTTTTTTGTTTCAAGTCTTGCAGCCTGTGGACTGGCTTTGTCTATTCAACTTATTCGAAGTACATAAAATAAAGTAGCACTTTCAATGTTAAGTTGGGGAGAATTGCAAAATTATGTTTTTTTTGGCAGGCGCTCTCTAATCAGAGGTTAATCGATGGGCCGAAGGTTCTAGATTTATTACTGTGCCAATTTTGTAATAGGAGAACCTGTATTCGGCGATGACACAATTTCTCTTTCCCGAGTTTCTCCTTTTCAATGGATTCTCGTCGCGCGCAGTCAATAAATCATCTTTATGCTTTTGTGTTCGTTTTTTCAAATATGCATAAAGCACAAAGCGAGTTAAACAGCGTTTATATAACTGTGTGAAAAAAGTGGTGTCCGATTCTGCTTTTGATCCCAGTCTTGACCAGTCTGGCGAAATTTTTTTCTCTCAAATGAGAATTAGTCACACATGCTTACATCAATCATTCGAAAGTTTAACTCTTCTTGTTTCTTTGAACGATCTCAGTGACGGCAATGAGTTCGATGTACTTCGTTCGCTGTCATAAAAGTTATCGTCGCATTCGCATACATTCGTCTTGTTTCATTGCCTTAGATTGAACTTTTCCAGGGGAACATTCGTTCGCATTCTTTTCCCTGTTACTTTCATAACATCGAAGTGACGGGATAGGCGAAGATTCCCCGAAAAGGTGAAGTGGAGCGTTCGTCATGGATGGTATTGATCCAGACGTTCTGCTAGAATGGCTTCAAACTGGCATCGGAGATGAAAGGGATCTCCAGGTTGGTGTTTTTTTCATTTATCGGTTCTGGGTGAGAATCTAGGAAACTTCAGGAGTTGGAAATTTGCACGAGTTTGTTAGAGTGCTTAGGCCTTATCTTTTGGTTTTTCCATCATCTTTGTGACGCTGCAATAAACGACGAACATAAATGATGAAAACATTTTTATGTGATTTTTGACCGCCTATGCTATTCCTTTGATATTTGAATTAGATCTTGGTAGTACGCGAAGGTCATTCGTTTTAGCTGTAAATTGATAGCGAGATGAATTTGAGCGCAAAAATAAGTTTTCTAAATGAAAATCGGAATCATGTTTTATTGCATGAAAAATAAGGTTTTAGCCTGAGGCGCTCAAAAATCGAGATTCGAGATATCCGTGCTTTAGTCCTGGATCTACGTCAGCATTTTTTCTTTCAGTTTTCTGTGTAGTTTCAGCTGGTCTTTTTTCTGTTGACTTCTGAACGCAATCCACGTTGTAAATCAATTTAGATGATGGCTTTGGAGCAGCTTTGCATGTTGCTGCTTATGTCGGATAATATTGATCGGTGCTTCGAATCATGCCCACCACGAACTTTTCTACCTGCGCTTTGCAAAATCTTCCTGGATGAAACCGCAACCGAAGCTGTCCTAGAAGTAGGTGTTGATTGATTGCGTTACCGACGGTTTTATTTCGTTAACCTCTGTGTATTCAAGGTGACGGCACGAGCAATCACATATTACCTTGACGTTTCAAATGAGTGCACACGCCGAATAATACAAGTAGATGGGGCTGTGAAGGCTATATGCAATCGGCTCGCCGCCGCCGAAATGACGGATAGAACGAGTAAAGATCTGGGTATGTGGAAAGTGCTAAATTCTGCGTTTCAACTAGAGAACTATATAGCTCTTTATAGCTGAACAGTGCGTCAAGCTCCTGGAGCACATTTGCCAGCGTGAAACTTTGGCTGTTTACGACGCAGGGGGTATGCATGCAATGCTAACCCTTGTTCGCCAGCACGGATCACAAGTCCATAAGGTCAGGTTTTTGCCGAGCTTGACTTTATTATACGGGTATCAGTAGCGAATTTTACCTTGTCCAGAATTTGGGGTCCTATTTTCTTGAGCTTCTCTAAATCACAAGATTGGCACCATTTTTACTCCGTTATTTTGATTGGAGACAAAGCAACTAGAGAGCTTTCCATTCAGCTCTTTTTGTTTTTAAAAATTCATCAAATAAGGAAAACCGAGCAGTTTTGATGCGCATACTGTTTTGAACGTCCCCAAGTCTTCCAACTACATATCCTCTGCGGAATTCATTTATTATTTGCAGGATACAATGCATTCAGCAATGTCTGTTGTCACACGATTGTGTGGGAAAATGGAACCGAACGATGCTGCCCTCCCTCAATGTGCTGAAAGTCTTGGAGCATTATTGGCACATGAAGATACAAAGGTGGCTTGACTCAAATTCTCACGATGTGCATCTGTTGATGGTGTTACAGGTCTCTGAAAGTGCTCTACGTTGTTTTGCTGCTTTAACCGACCGTTTCATTCGCAAGATGCTCGACCCCGCTGAGTTGGCTACGCACAGCAATCTGGTTGAGCACCTGCTAACCACACTGTCTAGTGATACTGCTGCCCATTCTGCCAATTTCATCTCCATTGTCCTATCATTACTCAGTAATTTGTGTCGAGGCAGTGCTGCGGTCACCGAACAAGTGTTGAGGTACTTTTCCGCTTAAATTCTGGAACTATTTTGTAAGAGATACATTTAGTTCACCCCGCCTGATATCTGCACTACAGTGTGTACTTACTAATAAAGACGATCGATGCGTTACGGACGGACTTCGACTTGCCGACCTTCTTGTTGTGTTGCTAAGTGAAGGACGATCGGCTCTTCCATTCACAATGGCTGTGAGTGACACTTGAATGGCGAAATAAAAGAACTAGTACAACTTTCTAAGCACAAAAAGTCTTGAGAATCTCTATCTAATCTCATCAAATGCCATCCATCGTTATCCATAGCTTTTTTTCGAACTTCGTAATTTGTAAAACGGCACAAAGTTTAATCCGATTTGTGTCATAGGCAATAATTTGGACTTTGGAGACATACGAGAATTTTCCTGAATGCGCTACAAAATATGAGTCGTAACCTTTACTTCAGCCATTTAAGATTGGCATGTGCAGATACCACTTTCCCACTTCACTATGACATTTTACGTAATATTGGTAGCGCTAGGTCGAAGTAATCGTCAGCAGCTTACCTATCTACGCATTGACTGATCCAATGCTTGACATAGTGGCTCAGTCGAACATGTGCTTTTATCTAACGGTAAGCCTCACGCGAGATTTAGAATTCCTGTAATTTTTTGCGTTGTTGCCTGCTCTAGATGGCTTGGGAGAATGGCTCAAGCTTTTGGGGGAGGGAGAGAAAGCAGCAGAGTAGTTCTCTTTCTTGCTTATCTTTGTCTTCATCGGATCTCATATAAGATCTTGAGCTGCATGTAATAGTGTAAGTATAAAGGACAAGTGTCTTGAAGGATGCTTAGTGCACATGATTTCTAATTTCTTTCCATGTTAATTCAATCGTCTCTCTCCTTTCGGAATAGTCATAACAAGCAGATCTAGTCGAATCTACGACAACGATTTGGCCATGTATTTTGACTTTATCTCGAGCATTGAAAAGATGACAGTTCATTTGTTGGAGTTTTGTTGCAATGCCCAAGTAAATATCATGCTTCAGTACCAATCGAGTGGAGAACCTGGCCAAAGTGGTCAAAGCGCTGAACGTGCTCACCGTCATTTGATCGACGCTATCAGACAAAAGGATTTAAGCGCTCTCGTCGACACTATAGACAACGGAGTTGTAAGTCTTGACCTTTTGCATTTCTTGCCTCGCATACTCTAAATGTATCTTAGGTCGACGTCAACTTCACAGATGACGTCGGACAAACATTGTGCAACTGGGCTTCTGCATTCGGCTCCTTGGAAATGGTGCAATATCTTTGCGACAAGGTAACTTTTACGAATAATCAAAATCAAGAGAGCGAAGTGTACTATCATCAATATTCGTTCAAAGCATCTAGTATCGTAACACTTCTGTATGTCTGTTCGTCGCTCATCTCATGTTGTTGCAAGTTCACCACCTTTATAGCCAGAGATGGGCAGAGGGCAAAGTTTGTCATGTGGAGTATTACTGCAAACCATCTCCTTTCTTATTTTGCGTAACTTTACATCGACAATAACATTTCCATCAAGGCGACGATCGCTTGTTTGAAACAAACACCATTATGATAAGGTACCAATCACACTATGCGCAATAAACGCGCGTGAAAGCATGACCTACATTGCCCCATACAGCACAATCATTTCAAGTTTGACTTCTAACGACAGTTAAAGCACGTGATAGAGGTTGTAAAACAGTTGGAGTTACTTCAGTAAGAAAAAGTGCTGCTTTAGGTTGAATAGGTCTGAAAGCGATGAATTTCACCCATGTATTCTGCAATCATTGTGCAGTATTTCCAAGTTTGCCCCACGCTACGTAGGTCATTCAGGGTGCTGACGTCAACAAAGGGCACAAAAGTAGCAGTCTTCATTATGCAGCCTCCTTTGGACGACCAGATGTTGGTTTCCTTTTTTAACATTTCCACATCAGTGTTGAAGGGTGTGCGTTCCAGATAGTAAAAGTGTTACTTCAACGAGGAGCAAATCCTGATTTGAGAGATGAAGATGGAAAGACAGCTTTGGATAAGGCACGAGAGAGAACTGACGAAGATCATACACAAGTCGCTCAAATCCTGGAGAGTCCATCCGTGTACATGCATAGCAGTAAGTGTTGTTTTCATAGCTGAAGCTTCCTTTGATGCTGACTCAACCAAAAAACTCGAATTGGTTGTAAGATAGAAAATCTATACGTTTGATGTCATAATTTAGTAGATTACAGTTTATGTACCAAAGCAATGTCAAACGACTTCTTTCAGAATCGGATGACCAAGGTAAAGGAAAGCTAGCTTCTGTGGTACGAAAAAACAGTAGTAGTGATCTACCTGACCGAGAATTAGCAGTACGAGTCCTCCATCAGCTTTTGCCGATTTTCTGCGAGATTTTCATGGTATGCGATATCGAGGATAATGTTCAAAAGCGAAGGCTTTACCATTGTTGCAGAAATCCCTATCTGCAAGTGTTCGTAGAACATCGCTTTCGCTTCTTCGTAAAATTGTCGAGCATATGCAAGTTGATGATCTGCGAGCCCCATCCAATCAAGGGAAGGAAGCTCAAGGTAATTTTTGTAATTAGCCGTGTTTCTTTCAAAATCTGTCCGTGCATTTTTTCTTAATAAAGCGATCCTTTAGGCTGCTCATCAGACCCACACGCTTTGTCATCCAACGATTTGCCCCCTGGTGCAGAGAACTTAGTGTCCGTTGTGGTATCGGTCTTGGAGCAAGAAGAGGATCACGACGGCCAGGAACAGGTCTTGCTGGTAAGATTTTTTTTTGTGTTACTTTGCTAGTACATCTTTCTTTTTGGTATCCGTCAGCATGTTACCAGACAAAATGTTTCTTCAGATTCTGTCTTCGTTGCTGAAAAAGGATCCTGAACTATGGGTTCCGGAGCTTGTACGTCTTGGTGTCTTCGAAAGGGTCGAAGCAATGGCCAAAGAGCCGCCAAGAAGTCACGAGGTTTGTCTATCTATTGTTGATTTATATCACACTCAAGCAAGCTGTTCCGCAGGATGATGATGAAGACGGCGATCGTGCTGACGAGCTGAATGCTCGAAATAGTGCCATGAGCAGGTTAGCGAGGATGCTCGTCTTCTTCACAAGGGAGAATCTCAGATCTTATGATCCTATAACTTTCGTTCGGATTTCAGGTCAACGACATCGACTCCTTCGGTTGCGATGGAGCTAGACGTAGCAGAAAGGAGTACTTCCGCTGGTGTAAGTGACGAGACGGAACGAGAGCGCGCGGCAATGTTGAATGTGATGATGGAGGTAATCATCAAATAAACAGAGTTTAGCAAAGTATAATCTGTGCATTAGGTGGAGGACATGAGCACCACTGAAACGCCACCGCCTACAGTTGAAGTAGTTGATTCGAATGCTGGTACATCTCTCACTTTGATGGTGCCAACTTCTTCAAATGACAAGGGAAAGCTTGTTCTCCAACAAGGTGAGCGCTGAAATCAACTGCAAAAAAACAAGTGTTGTCATTGTTTTTGCCACTTAATTGCGCAGGCTGTTTTTGACTTTACTTGATAAAACAATTTTTGTAACCTTTCGATTCATCTGCAAAAATCTGGCAACGGGTGAAAAAAAGCCTTGTTTTTCCCACGTCCATATATCCAACAGTGACTATTCAAGACACTCCATATCGTTGGAAGGAATGGCGAGTGGTGCGTGGTGAAGAGTCCACATTCATTTGGTGCGATGTCCTGGCCCTTGAGTTCAGGTGATTTGGAGTGGCCGTTTTAAATCGTGACACTTTCGGCACTCACACTTGTTTTCCAGCTTCAACAGCAATGGATGGTTCCGTTTCTTAATGGATGGAGAAGTAACAACGATGTTTAACAATGGGGTAGCTGAAAACGTGTCTGCTGAAGTGCGGGCAGAAAACAAAAAGTCTTTCATGACAAGATGGCGAAGAGCTAAACAAGCTTGGAATGATGATTCGCTTCCTGTCAGTATCTTATGTGTGCCTTGCATCGGCAAAAAGGTAGCACCTTTTCGTGACTATCTGAATGTTGACAGCGGCAATTACGTCACGCAGGTGGAGTTTCCTCGTTGGGAAATTTGGAGCCCTCGTTCAACGGAACTTACCATCAAATGCTTGAAAAGTGAAGAGCACATTGTTGTAAAGGATGAGCTTGGTGGATTTGTGATTGAAACTAGTGATAAGAATAAACATAGCCAAATGCCGGAGACTGCTCTGACCTCGGAATTCCATACCGGTGAGTCTTCACTTATACACATTGAGAAAGGCGCAAAAAAGTCTTGGCCTTTCTAGGCTGGAGTTCACATGGAATGACCGCTAGAAGATCTAAATTCCGCGGCGAAATTCAGCGGCGTAAAGTGCAAGAGCTTGCTTGGGAGTTGTGGAACAACCACCTCAAGGAGGCCCGTGCGAAGCCTCGTGAAGCCTTGATCGAGCTTCAGAAAGCAGCAGTCTGCATTCAGGTTCGTGATTGAACGGTATGAGCCATTATGTTTGGATTTTCAAATCGTGTTTAGGACGCTGTGACCACAGCCAATCTCATCGCTGGAATATCCATAAAGAGCAAGCACGTGAAGCAGCCTCGTATTGAGAAAGTGCAAGAGGTATCTATAGACACAATGTAGCTTTGCTAAATCCTTTTTCATGGAATGTCTACTTTCAAACCACTTTTCAGCTTGTTTCCGCTTTGAAATGTGTACGTGAATCGGTTGTGGATGACAGGCGGCTGTCAACTTTCGAATTTTCCGTGTCCGGAATCGTCCCTGCTTTGCACAATCTTCTGGCATTAGTGGAACGACAGCCTGGGAGCTATCCAGCTCGCATATTTGGCGAGGTTTGTGCTACACATGCTACATACGTTTTGGGCCTGCATCCTTCTAATTTTCAGACATTCGCGCATGGATCTGCCTTGCCGAGCCTTGCATCAAAGATGGTCTCTGTACTTGAATCTACCGAGAAGTTTCCGCAGTACCTCTATGATACCCCTGGTGGATCCGCTTTCGGCCTTCAACTGCTGTCGCGTCGAATTCGCATGAAATTAGACCAAGCTATCAGCGAGCACGATGACAAGAAACAGCTTATCAACAGGTAGGGTACTCATAAGCACATCTAGTACATCTACTTATAAGTGCATCTTGCGTTATACATGTAAATTTGGTCATTACAAGAGAAACTTCAACCGACCAACAAACAAATTAGTTCGATAGTTTTGTCGCACATCCTTGCTCCATATGCATATATCTGATTATTTCAGAAGTGGACGGTTGCTGAAGAGTGAACCACTCACCACTATTGGGCAGTTGAAGTCCTTCCTTCTGAAAATGGTTGCAAAGCAATGGTGAGTCCACGCGTTTTCTTCATACAACTTTCATCATGATCAACAAAATCTCATAAATAGTCTCTCGGGAAATCCTTGTCCGTACGGTGGGTAAAAGTCAATATTTCCGTATCCATCAAACTTCCAGGTTTGATCGCGAACGCTGCAACTTGAGTTTTGTCAAAACTATCGAAGAGGCGAAGAAAACCGGTGAAAGAATTAGGCTTATATACACCAGCGATTTCGACGAGCAAGGTACGCGAACTGGAAAACTACATCTGATTTTCGCCAAATCTTGTCATGTAGGCATCATCTACTGGTTGGGAACAAACGGAAGAACTGCTTCGGACTGGACTAACCCAGCGTCGATCGGTATAGTGCAAGTGCGTCATTCTTTTTATTTTTATTCGCGGCGGATGTATGAAATCCTTTCTTAGGTCACATGCTCTGACCAAAGACAACCTTTTGGCAAGCCTGAGGATGTTCTTAGTCGTGACGTAAATCCGATCAACTGCCATTCTAGTGACGATAAGTTAGTATCATTTTTCATTGAACTCAATCATCGTTGATCTTGGTAGTCAATATGGTCCTTAGTAGAATTAAATGTTAAATCTCAGCAAAACAGGCTGTTCCAGCAGCTTCTCGATATTTCGAGGTACGCCAAGTCTTTCTAGAAATGCCAACTTCACTATCGATCTCGGCGTCCTTATCTATCCTACTGCGTACACATTGAGACATGCAAGAGGATATGGTCGTTCTGCCCTACGGAACTGGCTTCTTCAAGTATTTTATCGCTTGCTTCGTTCAAATTGCTCTTACATCTCTCTCATAATAATCTTCTTCTAGGGTTCCAAGGACAAACAAGTTTGGGAAGTACTAGTTGCGCATACTGACGACACCAGCCTTGGTGATCCTGGTTCGACAGCTACTTGGCCGATAGAGGATGATCGCACGAAAGGTTGGATCTTATATCTGCATTTTTTGGGCCAAGTTGTATTTTTTGCACTTTAGGGCCTTTCCGATACTTACGCATTGCTCAAAATGGCAAAAACTCGTCGGGACAGACTTACTACTTGAGCATTTCTGGATTTGAAGTCTATGGAGAAATTGTTGATGTAGTTATAGATGGATTTGCACCACACAAAGACGAGAGGGGTGGTTGTGCTTTCGTAAGTATTTGAGTTTCTGTAGAATTTGAGTCATATCTATAAGTATGGTTTCAGAGCAAGTCCAAAATTCCTCTTCCATCGTCTTCGAGGAAGGATTACAACAGGGATGAGGTAAGCGGTCTTGCTGTTCATTTTTTTTTCGAGAACACAAATCCACCACCCAGAAGGTTGAGTCGTTAATGCCACAAGGAGCGAACAACAATAAATTAAGAGCTGGCCTCACAGCTGACATGGTTTCCATGATGCATACAAGATCTCGGTTTGTACTCACTGCTTGAAAATGCAAAGGTGGAGTCAAGAATTCTTGCTGATTTAGAATGCGTGTGGCACGCGCAGCCCGTCACGCTGCAGTTGGCACTGATGCCCGAGGTATGCGTGTTATCCGTGGACCAGATTGGTCTTGGGATGACCAAGATGGCGGTGGTGAAGGCAAAATCGTCGGATGTGTTGAGAATGGTGTGTGGCTGACCTGCTTGATCTTGGAAGAGTAGTCTTTACTTTTTAGGTTGGGTTGATGTGCAGTGGGACAATGGATACACAAATTCGTATCGATTCGGAGCTGACGGTCGCTTTGACATTCAACGTGTCAGTGGACGAACATCGCTCACTACGTCCACTCCTGCTATCTCTGTACTGGAGGCTGTGAGAGCAAAAGGTCGTGGTTTGATGAGCAAAACTAGAGAAGTTGGTGGTGCACGAGAAGGGAGCTCGTCTCCATTTGCATCGTTCACGGGCTTCACACCATTTGCCACGAAGCAGCGCAAATCTGGAGGTGACGTTCATCATGTACAGAGTAGCGAATTCAACTTTATTGTTCTTCTTTAGTTTCTACCCCGTTGTCGCGTTTTGCCAAAGTACCATCCACATCGTCTGCGAGTACAGCTTCGAGCTCGTCAAATATCGGTAAGAGGCGCATAGTTTTATCATCGTTCTGCGCTTCATTCCGCTTTGTCTACAGGAAAGAAATCTATGTCAACCACCAACCTTGTGGAGGATCGCGCCAAAGCTGGACCTAGTGTAGCTTCCACTGGTCAAGCAGCATCGGCGGAGTCTTTGCAGCATCAGACACAGTCACTCGAAAACCTTCTTGCTCGGTATGCCGTTTCATTTCTTTCCGTTGGTTCTTAGAAAGTTTGATGATTGTAGGGCCAATCCACATAAGTTTGGAAGAATAGCAGAGAGTATGGAGAGCGGTGCTGAGACGCCAGAGCCAGGTCATGAAACCCCAGTAGCCGCTGAGACTGAAGAAAGCGATTCTGCGACTAGGTATGCTTGGTTACTTTGCCGTGTACCTGCACCTTTCATATAACGAGGTTTGTTGCAGTGCTGCCGGCTCTCATGCTGCATTGTCTGTATGCTCATCGCAGTCGTCTGTGGTTGATGCGACTCCTCGCGATGGTGCTACCCCATCTGCACCTCAGGTTGACTCTACGAAACTGAGCAGGTAAGGCAGTAGATTGCGCGTAATCATTCCAACTCTTTTTGTTTGCTTATTTCCGTGTTATGCATAGATGGATAGCTGTGATATTTCTCATTTCAGTCTTTCTGTGTCCGCACCAGATTTGGCTGCTGCGCGTCAACGGCAGCAATCCAGTGACACCTTTGAGATGGACAAAACTGTTGAAGAAGACGAGGAACAGGAGGGTGAAGATGAAGAGGAAGAAGAAAGGTACTTCGATTGTTCTGGCATCATTGTTGTGAATGAGAATGTGTCAGTGTCATCTCTTATTTACAGTAATGAGAAGGTGAACTTTGCTGACATGATGGTGGATGCGTTAAACAACACCTCGGAAAGGAGCCTCTTTGAGAAACTTCGCGAAGTTTTCGGCACAGGTCTGTTTCACTGTCATGATCGTACACAACGAAATCAACTTCTGTATTCTAGAAGACTCTCTTGAGCATCTCATAACATCTTCATCCTCGAACACTGAGCTTGGTGAGGTCACCGCTCCATCAACTTCTACATCAGCCTCGCAGAAGAGCGTCAAGAAAGACAAAACCTCTCTCAAGCAAAAACTGGGCAACTACGCCGACGTGCTGAAGGGAATCATGCAAACGGTTTGGATTCTTTCTGTTGTTTTTTCTTTTCTTTTCCTGTGTAATATGGCGCAAAAGTTCAAAACGCAGATTTTGTTTGTAGATGATGGATCCTAGTGGAAATTCGTTGGAAGTTGAGGAATTGCTAGATGAGGTAAATAGTTTCGTTCCAAAAAATCTGGTGGTGGTAAGCGGAACATACAGTCGACTTTATGCGAAAATAGTCCGTTTTATCGTAGAATGATTTGTTGGGCTCTCAAGAGAGAACCTCTTGTTAGCAAGCACGTTCTCTCACTTCGAACACTTCTGCCTCTATATGACTTCTCTGTCCTTCAACTATTGTTTATATTTGGTGCGCGCTATCCAGGATGGCTACAGCATTCATTTTTGTATGAGTTTTAGTCAAAATGTACTTTCTTCGATTTTGCTTTTTGCAATCAAAAAGAATTATTTTGTCTCCCCTCCTCCTTTGCTCCTCATTGTTTCATTCTTTAAGATAGGGAAATTTTGCACAATGAAACCATGCCCTTGAGCGTGTTTTTCTTGCATCATCAGGAATACGATTTGGTTTCGGTGGCCTCTTTTTCAAGATCTCTTGTTTTAAGCAACTTGCCCAACTTGCCTCTGCGCTCTGCGCCTAGGTTAATTTCTTACAAAGCTTTTCGTAACGGTTCTTAATGCTGGGCTCTCTCCTTGCTTCATTTTGTTTTCAGTTGAGGTTTGATTGAGGGTTTACTGGCTCTTATTGATGGTCTCGTAACGGTGTAATGCAGTACAAACGTATGTTCGGTTTATGTTTTATAAATTCACTTGGTTTTGTAAAGGATGACTATTATGACGACGAGGAAGGTAATGAAGAGGACATTGAGGATGACCTAAACGCGCTCGGCGTACCCGTCGACTCTCTCGCCACCGTGCTGACTGGTAGAGGAGGTGAAGGTTTCAAACTGAATTGGAAGCAGGTGAGTTGTATACGTCACTCGATTTATGTGTAGTTTTTGATATTTTGCACGTAACAGTTCTCTCAGCTGATGAGTGGTGGGCTTGACTCACGCAGTCGCGATCAGCGTGGCAGCGGTAAGAACAACTTCCGTTCCTGGGACGATGAGCTTGTGTTGAAGTGCTCATTCCAAGTAGGTTTCGCTTTCTCCAGCATGTCAGTATACCAGAGACATCTCCATGAATGCATCAGTTTAATTTTTATCCAAGTACTATGTCTATCGATCTTGAGAAGAACTTTTTACATTTCCTCTGTCTTTAAGGCTTGTAGTCGTTAAGTTGTGATGAAGCATCCTTATAAGTTCAAGAATGAGATAGTAAGAGTAAACATCATCAGCTACAATAACTCCATGTTCAGGCGCTCATTCCCGCATTCGATCCACGTCCTGGTCGTACGAACGTCAATCAAACTCAGGATGTTGAGCTTCCAGCGGTCGTCCCAGATCCTGCACAGTCGAAGCCTGCGCCTGTAAGTGTGGGTACAACCACTTGTTACTTTGTAGCAGCGCAAGCAAAGAGTAGAGAGTCTATTTCACATGTATGGTTTGCTTATTACTTAGCTATCTCAGCCCCTTTTATGCCATTCTTTGTTGCACATGTGAAGCTGCCATATTTTTAGTCTGATGAGACCTCTTTGCGCCTGTTCCTTCGTGGGCCTAATATGAATGGAGTCGAGAATGTCACCTTAGAAATGGCAGCGGATGATCACAGTCTTTTCTACTATGTTCAGTCTCTTGTCGGAGCTATTGATTGGGGAACGGTAAGTTATGACCCTGTTTCTTCAACCGCTTCAACTTGCTGGTTTAGAAATGCGAACGCAGCCGTCGCGTGTGGGAGCCGACCTACACTCTGATTTACGAAGATGCATCCCTTCCTTATGTGACGAAGTTCAGCCAGATTAGCTCAGATTACAGCAAAGTGCCACCTGCTGTTAATGAGTGTTTGGAAGTCATCGGACTGCTTTCCCGTATCGGAGAAAGATTCCCTGATGCGCAGCTCTCTCCTTCAGTCTTTATCAGCGATAAACTTACCCAGAAACTTACGCAGGTAATACAATCAAATTTCTCCTTACAAAAACTGCACGACAATCTTCTAGGAGCTTTCTGATGCCTTGGTGGTCGCAGCCAGAGCAATGCCAGATTGGTGCGAACGCCTCATTTACACATATCCATGTCTCTTCTCCGCGGAGACAAAGTACGTGCAAATTTGTAGTTGTCTTTCATTAGTGAGAAGTCGATCTAAATACTTAAGGAACATGTACATGCAAGCTACTGCCTTTGGAGTGTCCCGTACAATTGTATGGCTACAATCCCGTCGTGACGCAGCACTTGACCGAGCACGTGGTGCAGCTCAGAGCGCTACTAGCAGCGCTAGCAGACCACACGATCGCTATCAAGAATACCGTGTTGGCCGCTTGAAGCATGAACGGATTAAGGTGAATGAGAGCTCTAGTCTTCTAATGCATCAAGTTTACTTAAACTTTGCAGGTAACTCGTTCCGAAGAACATCTTCTTGAGCAGGCTATCCGTGTTATGAAATTCCACGCTGATCGCAAAGCAGTTCTCGAGATCGAATATGTTGGTGAAGAGGGAACTGGTCTAGGTCCTACTTTGGAGTTCTATGCCTTGGTAAGAATTCAGAAGGTGGAAAAATGTGCTTACGTTTACTTTGTTATGTTTGGGTTAGAAAAACATATCTTGTACTGTAGTGAAGTCTTATAGATTGTACCTACGTATTGTTAAGAAAATCATTCGTACAATTGTTTGTTTATAATTGAAGGTCCATTTTTCAGGTTGCCGCCGAACTGCAACGAAAGGCATTAGCTATCTGGCTTTGTGACGACATGGATGAGCATCAGCTGAAAATGGAAGAACGTGAGCTTGATCTGGGTGAAGGAAAGAAACCTCCAGGGTCAGTCTGTTTCTTCAAGCTTTTGGAGTGGGACCAAAATAGTGCTTTTTCCTGATAACATATGTCCGCCTTGCAGGTTCTATGTCCGTCGCGCCGGTGGCCTTTTCCCTGCTCCACTTCCACCTCATACTGATGAAGTGCGTAGAGCATCGGAAATGTTCCGAGTACTTGGTATTTTCTTGGCCAAAGTAAGTTCACTAGTGTGCTTTTCTGACGCCATCTCATAAGGCTGTTTATCTTCAAATTGGCTTCAAAATCTACATAAATGCATCTTACTTCAGGTTCTGCAAGATGGAAGGCTAGTTGATCTGCCGCTAGCTCGTCCGTTCTTGAAACTCATTGTCTCTCCACACCTAAGCGAGGCTGAAGAACCATCACTAGACCGTGTTTTGTCATTGGATGATTTCGAAGAAGTTCATCCTGTAAAAGGTATCTTGCGCCATACTGTGTCTAAGAATCAATTGTAGTTCTTGTCCTGCGATTTTCCCCTAATATTTGTGCAGTGCAAAAATGGTTTATGCAGGTGGCTTCCTCAAGGAATTGCGAGCCCTAGCACAAAGGAAACGCGCAATTGAGAACGAGCCCATGTTGGATCGAGAAGCAAAGAGGCGAAAGATTGATGAGCTGAAATTATGCATTCACGGCACTCGTTGCCGTGTTGAGGACCTAGCTTTGAACTTTACGTACTGTTTTATATATTTGCTCGATTTGTCTAACATCTATCGATTTTCCCATTCTTGAATCAACCAACCAACTACTGCTTCAGCGTTAATCCTCCATCCTCTGTGTTTGACTATGAAGAAATGGAATTGGTCGAAGGAGGTGCGGACATGGATGTCACGATGGATAATGTTGAACTTTATGTACAAAAATGTGCGGACTTCTACCTAAATACGGGAATAGTGAATCAAGTTAGTTTCCACCCATCCAAATTCGGATTGTGCACAATTTTATCTTATGTAGATGCGCGCATTCCGTGATGGCTTTGACCGCGTTTTCGGTCTGCGAGCACTCCGCTCATATAGTCCTGAGGAAGTGCAGGTAATTTATTTGCGGCGCTTTTAGCCGATTTTTTCACACTTCTTTTATGAATATCTTGCTTCCAGCGTTTACTGTCCGGTGAGCAGTGTCCGGAATGGACGCGTGAGGATGTGCTCAACTATACCGAACCAAAGCTTGGATATACCAAAGACTCACCTGGCTTCCTGCGATTCGTTGACGTAATGGTAGAGCTAAATCCCCAAGAACGAAAGAACTTTTTGCAGTTTGCTACAGGATGTTCTAGCTTACCTCCAGGTGCGGTAATTCGTTCAGTTACTTGTGGTTGGAAGATTTTTTATTCTTTGGATCGTCTTTTTAACTTTTCCAGGAGGTCTTGCCAATCTCCATCCACGTTTGACAGTGGTTCGTAAGGTCGAAAGTGGCGATGGAAGTTATCCTTCCGTAAGTATAGTGTCATACTGCGTTCTGCTTTCAGAATTCTTCATATATAATTGCAGGTAAATACTTGCGTGCATTACCTCAAACTGCCGGAGTATTCGTCAGCTGATATTTTGCGAGAACGCCTTCTGACGGCTGTCAACGAGAAAGGATTCCATCTCAACTAATATCGCATTTATTGATATTTGATTTTTCTACCAGCTCACGGTGCAAAACATTAGAATTGTTTGTATTTCGATCAGATGTGATTGGACATAGCTCAAGCAGATCATCCACCACATGTGCACCTTTCTATACATAGCGCTTTTTCAAACTAATGGGTACAATTTCGTTTTCTGTTATACTCCTCTTCAGCACTGTGTTCCTCCATTTTCACATTTCGACCGGCTTTGATGATGAGCGTTAAATCCGCGAAATTACCGTATCAGTCCGTGAGATCACCTCCGCACTTTTGGTGTTTCACTAGTCTTCAAGTGATACCTGGTTGCCGGTGTAGAGTGGAACCAACGAAGCGTTGCGTTTTCGATTTGGTTGCGGAAGTGAATGTTTGCTCTCTCCACAAAACATCATTCTCGGTTTTAATTCGAACAATATTGCCTTTGTCTTCCTTTGCGGTACCAGCAATATGGTGGAAGAGTTCACTCACAGTTCTTGATTCTTTCTCTTGCATGTGTTCTATGTGTTATCTCTACCCTCTACATAAAGATGTGAAATTTGATTGATTTTTTCTACACGCAGAACGGCTTATGACCATGATACCTGTGACAGATTGTTCGACGTTTAGCAAATGGACATCAACATTATTGAGATTTTTATACGGTAATCAAATATCACAAAACTGTGAGCGTATTCAGTTATGACTCAAGCGCTGGCACATAATTGCGTAATTTCACTTTGTCCTTTACAATGAGGAAAAAACATTGGCGCATCACAGTTCCATTGGAGAATACAATGTGAGAAGCAGAGAAGGGCCGAGGGAGGGGAAGGAGCCCACTGCAACTAAACAACTAAACAACTAAACAGCAAAGACTATAAAATTGTGCATGTGATTGTTTTCACTTGCAAATATTCGAGTATTTTCCAAAATTTTTGAGAAATTCATGTTAGTTCTGTAAAAAAAGTGGTTCGGTGCGTGTAGCAGCCATGCCCTCTTTTCTGCTTCGGGGTTGTAGGCTCGCAAAAAATTCAATCCCCGCCCCTTTTCCGAGTGCTAGGCTTAAGCCACGCCCATTCATTCAAAAAATTTTCGTTCTCCCCCCCCCCCCCCGAAGGGACTTGGACGTCTTGAGAAGTGAATCAACATTGTGGCTTAGAGACGAGGTTTTCTATTCTTGCTATTCCGTAGCTTTCCCTTCAGACAGAGGAATCTTCAAGAAAATGACATTCACTTCGACTAATTGAGGCCTTTGTTGAGATGAGCTAGAGAAGTTAAATCTCTCTTTGAACTCTTCTTGTCGTAATGAAATTGCGCGGCGTACAGGTACTTCCGCTGTTTCAGTAACTTATAAAATCCTAGTCCGTATAACACTATCACAGTGCTTGCGTCACTCGATGCACAATTCCATTGTGCATGCGAAAGTGCTGGATAGTGAATGGCGTTTTCGAAATTCTTTCTCAAACAATTTTGGTAAAATATGGATCGTACATGTAAGCACATGCAAAGCTGGTCGCTTCGGCGACCGTTGTCATTCTATAAACAGGCGTCTATTGATGCCGGTACGTGCCATTGAATGTATTTGGTCTTTTTTGCAGCTAGTTTTTCTCTCTGATCTAGTGTCTGGACATGCTCACTTTTATCAAAACTCCTCATTTTGGAAATATTTCCCTCTTATTTCTTGAGCGCGCTAGATGCTGTTTTGCAGAGTAGAACTTTGGACAAATTTTCAGTCAGCTTATTTTTAGATTACCTGAATATAGCTTTGAGAGTTTCTGATAATTGTTTGAGGCCCATTTTTTCGAGCATATGTAGCGCGGAAGCTTACCGAAAATAAAAAAGTTAGTATTTCAAAGCGCACTGAGCTTGATTATATTGCACAACCGATAATTAATGGGAAAGCTTCAATTTGCAGAAAATTTTGAAGCCTCGATAATTTGCTGCAGTTGTGTATTTCATGATGGGAGCAAAACGAGTTTTCGAAGAAATACCTTTGTAAAGCTCTAAATGTTAGGTCGGGAGACCAAGACGCTTGCTATAATTCGAGATATGCTCCATCCATCTTGTACCTATCTTCTCAGGAAGCCTTGAATGAAATTTAAAGAGTAGCCGGACTTTGAGCAGATAGAAATGAAATGAAGTTTTTTTCCAACTATTTGAAAGCATCTGGAAGATCAAGGTTAGAAAACATAACTATCCGAAAAAGGACAAAAAACCTGCATCGAATATACGATCATCGTTTTGGTTATCATTATCAGAGTTTTATAATCGTTTGAAAAAACCAACAGAATTTTCAATAATTAATCAAACGTTTCGCGGTCCGGTAGAAATTTTCGTATGAGCTTGATGTTTCCCGTTTTTCTGTAACCCTCACAGGCAATTCTTTATTCTTGCTACGTAGCCTTCCGTTTTTCTTCATATTTACGGAAGAATTCTCTATTTCTACGCTGACCGAATTTCAGGAATATAAGATGTCTATACCAACTGTTATGCGAGACACACAACTAGTGGGCCAACACCTTTTTGATCATACACCATATGTTCGTGCTGAGATTGACCGGTTTCTGGACAGGTTAGTATTTCTATCTATAATGTGCCTTTCATTGAGAAATGTAAGTAAAAACATGGATTTAATTGTGTGTTTGCAGATTTGAAAAAAATGAACGGCACCGTGAGTTTGATGGAATTCTTCGCGCGAGCCATGCTGTGGGTGTCGTGATTTGCGCTGAAAATAACTTTTCGGGAAAATAAGAAATTTAGCTAATCGAAGCTGCTGAAACACCGGTTGAAGCTTTATTCGATGCCGGGAAGATGACGACACTAACTGATGATGTAAATCAACTCACAGAGCGAATCAAAAAGCTCACTGAACCCACTTACGCTAAGGTTTGCCATTTTGTGCTGATTCCAAATCAAACTGACCAAATAATTTCATTGAAGGAACACGAAGAGTATCTCCAAGACATTGTGAACAAACAAAAAGAATATCTGGATATGCGTCGAGCTGAAGCGCATCTGCAGTTGAGGAACTCGATATCGTGATGATTCTGCAAGCGCCTTCATGTAATGTTCTTCGAGAATGAGATCTTCATTTAAGAGAGTATTATAAAAATTGTTGAGGTGAATCAGAAGTAATAAGAATTTTCCATTTTTGGCTTTGTTTGCAAATTACACCAAATAACGGATGGCTTCAAATGGTCTGTGTGCAGCTTTCTTATCGCGGTCACTGTTTCTGTTCTGCTTTTTGGTCTTCGCAGGATTAAGTTTCGAATTTGGTAAAATCCATAAGCTTATATGTGTACATATAATAATTCAATATGGACACAATTTACAATTAGAAGCTTCTTTGAAGCTTCTTATGTATTACTTGATTTGGATTATTCTCTCAACTTGTTTTGTTTGGTAGATCAATGCATAACTCAAACCAAGTGATTCATTCTGATGTTGTGACTTTATAGTATCATTTTGACTACTGTACTGATTTATTTCCTTAGAGAGCGTTGAAGATGTTAGTTGTAGATTATACTTGTGTGTTAGAAGCTGTTTCTATCGGGACATCTAAAGATACTACACATAAATATACCTTTTGTAGTTTCAATCATCGATAAAGTCCTTTGAAAAGTGCATGTGCGTCAATCCTGAGTGTTTCTGTATTTCTGATAGCCTTTCCAATATGAAAAGAGATGTTAGAGGTGTAATTTATCAATTTTTTTGGAAGTTAAGGTTACCTGTTTTGTTATGTAATTTGATTGTTGAATTGCGTTCAATTAGTAGGACTTCTAGATCTAGTAATTACAGTGTTTTTTTTCCGAAGTGTGTAGTTTCTATATTGGTTTAATTATGGATTTATTCTGTGACTTTCTGAATCTTTCTCTTGTTAATTATATGTATGATTAATCAGCCATCCATGTATCGGAAAAGATAGATATCTTTTGCATTTGTTATTCAGGGAGTATATGTATCCGTACTGCGATAGCGCTAGATCTGCTGGGGAAGGGCTCAATCACCTCTCTGAGGAACACAGTTTTTGTTTAGATATGTATGTACTGAACCCGCGAAAAGTATTATCGAGTAGTTATCAGTGTAGTATGCTTTATTACAACCACTGCATACTACGTATTTTTTCTTTGCATTTGAAGCGCAGTTTTACTTTCTTCTGTTTTTACTTTGTATCATGTGGAAAATCTGTAAACATAGTTGTGAATCCTGCTGAAGGGATTTGGATATTCTTGAAGTGTTTGCTAGTCTATCACTGATGTTGATATTTCTAATGACCAGTAATCATGGAAGTTTCTTTTGTCTTCAATGTTTTGTATATAATAAACACGCTGCTTGAGGAATGAAATATGATTGTTAATTCTATGGCTAACGGTTCAATGCTCTGTTTCTACACTTCCGTTTTCATGCAATTTTTGAATTAACTTTTGATTGAGTAACATGTTTCCATTGTCTTATGAGTTTATTTTTGATTCTTTTATCATTAAATTGATATGAAATTCAATAATACCAATCCGAAGTTGTTGTTTGCCTTACTTAACGGACAAATCGAAGAGAAAATTTTTTCAAAAGTTGAGAGTTGAAGTCTTAATTTTGCTTACTCTGTAGGTTTTCATTTTGTACAAATGGTTCGTGTTCTCGCAAATCTTCCTTGAGATCATTTCCAATGTTCTTGATTAAGTTAGTGTTGTGTTCAAATTTGCTTATATATATACCAGTCCAAAGCGCCGCTTCGCGGCGCTTTGGACTGGCTGTGTGTGTGAAGTGGGAATGTGACTGAAAGTTAGAACCTTTGAGGATTTGTAGCGAACCTTTTCCTCTCCAAAAGATGGCATGGATTTGAACACGTAATGAGCCCAGAAGTTATCAAAGTAACGGATCTATCCTGCTTTCGGAAGTTTCGGAAATTTTCTCTTGAAAATTGGCAACAGAATTATGAATGCTCCCCTCCCAGCTTTTTCTAACCGCACCCACTTCCTTGAGACACGAATTTACAGATACTTAATTCACAAATGCTTGAATCTTATATAATCTTGCGTTTTGCTATCCCAGTCTTTCAAGGTTTCCCTCCCCTCAACTCATTAACCCAGTAACTTCTTAATCATCTTTGCTGAAGTACCACTCTCTTCTCGCATTCTCACACTCTTCACTTCTGAGGGCATTAGTCGTAGGAGGCCGTTCTGACTCACGCTTCGAAAGTTGCCCCCAAATCTGGTTATTCAAATGTTCAGTCTGATCACGATTTAGACAGGCTTAGCCTGAGTTCTCCATGCTGCGAAGTTTCTCGGATGCTTTCAAACTCTTACACGTCAAAAAACGTAAGAAAAAAAATTTTGTGATTGAAGCGCCCGTCCCAAACCCGATAAAGTAATCCCAGCCATGTGCACTCTTCCCACCCGGGGCCGTTTCCCACATTTGACCCTCCAAACTGCCTTAGAACCCCCCCCCCCAGAAGCTTGAATGAGGCTACTTTCATCTCTTCCCGAAATTAAACTAAAGAAAATTCGAATTGTTATTTTTGAAAATATATAGCCAACATTGGAACTACCAAATCTAGAGCTTTTCAAATTCGAACACTCCCCTTTTCTTTTCAGAAGTATTCTTTTTGAGAGCGTCATAATTTCTCTCCTATTTCAAGAAACTCTTGTTCGTGTTTTATGAGGTTCCCAAAATATCTAGCATCCTTGCAATTCATAGGTAGGCTCCAAAATCGATCATTTTTGAGCTCATCTTATTGAGCAAGCTCAAATTCTTGAAGGAACCTACTTAAAGGTGTCCATGCTTCTAGCTGCTCACCTAGGCAGATCTCGTTTCTTATACAATTTTGAGGTTGTGCAATATTCTGGCAAAACTGCGCTGTGCGTTGATAAAGCTTTAGTTTACGTAAAGCTAAGTTGCATGCCACCTTGTCTCTTATTCGTAGCTGAGATACTAAAGGCAGATTCATACAGCATTTGGTCCTAATATATCAAACGCGATCGATTGACATTCTTTTACATTACTCTTCGAATTTTTGATGTTTGAAGGAAAACTCGGGAAGTTGAAAGTGCTCTTTAGAGTTTACTTTTCCTAGCTGAAGAAGGTTTTTGCATCCAGCTTTCATCGAGTCTTAAGACAATTTGCATGACCACGCTGTATTCGTTTGGAAAAATAGGTTTCGTACAATTGTTGGCAACTATCTAAAAGGTTCACACAGTATTGGGATGTCAACTCAATGGAGTCCAAAAATTTCGAAGTTCATCAGAATTGAAAAGAAGAAAATCTAAAGAGCCTGTGGTGTAGACATTTCAGACAAAGTGCTTATTCATGAAAAAGCGTAGACAAAGATTGCCCAGAGCAAAACTTGCGAGAATCCTCCAAAAACAGATTTAGTGCAGTTTACCTGGAATAATAACATTCACTAAGCACTTCACGGAGAGCTTCTTCTTGCTGAGATACGTTAACAGAAAAATTAAAAGGGCAGAATAATTGAAGATTTGGCGCAGCTCTTACGGTGAGGAAACATACTAAGCACTCGAGAAACGGACTATGGAAGACTGCAGTATATTAAATACCTAACTTTTCCGAAAAACTTATGCTCTCCTCGAAATTAAACGCTCCATAATAGAAATAGAGAAGCGAGATGTAAAAAAAAAGAACGTAATGGTGTTGGATAAAGTACAAACGATTTGGCCAACCCTTGATGGTTTTCGAAATGAAGCTATTACAGTCAGTGGAACAGCTTAATCAATTCAGCCAGTTCAAGTGGTGTCAATTTCGCTTTTGGTGCCAACTCATAAACATCGCTAGAGAACATGACCGAAAACTCTGGAGGCAGCATTGTATGACGTCATCAGCGCGACTCATCTTTACCGCCGGGCGCGTTGCCATTAGTGGTAAACAACACCGGAACATACACACACCATGCTGACTCACATGGGGGTGCTAGCGCTTTATATAATAGTATGGATAGTTTTTTTTATCATGTTTTATACAGTTGAAATTATCCATTCTCTTATTTCTTGTTGATATTATTTTGGCTTCTAAAATTGGTGCATTCATTGATAGTTTCAAGTTCAGCTCTGCTACTGCGTATAAGCCACCTCTCATCATGCAAACCCCAATTTGTGTTAATAGCGAGAGACTAACAAAAATTTGTGAAAACGGAAATAACACATTGTTGACAATGCCGCGCAAAGGTGGGAGCAATTACGAATTTTACGTCTAGAAGTTAAATTTCTGCTCAGAACATGGTTAAGCAATCATTTTATTTTTTGATTCCGATTACTGTAAATAGCCGCTTTAAGTGAAGACGTAGTCAGGGAGCACGGTGGGTCGGCAGTTGATCAAAATCCCAAATTTTGCTGAAATTTCGTCGTAGAGCTCCGCTTACCGATTTATATCACTTCCATGTCTAATTTTGAATCTTGGCACGAGCCATATTGTTGACTTGGACACTTACTTTATCCACGACCTTTAGTGTTTGGAAATTTCAATTCCATTTGTCAATTCTTTGTCATAAGAACAGTTGCTGGCATTGATACCTCATTCAATTTCCACTGACGTGAGATAGGTCACGTAGAACAAAACTGCTTCTGCTCACTCCACTACAGACAAAATAAAATTTTATAGGTCTGGACATTTATATTAATTTTTTCAAGATCATTTCTTGAACGAAGTAAAGACAATCAAGATGATGGTGAGTAACAGAGGTAATTGAAAGTGAGTTTGTGAGCAAAGGTGTTAGAGGTATAGCACTGAGGTATGAGCAGAGGAACAACCAGTGGTACATTAGAATGCTATGCGGTACTAGCAAACAATCCAACCGAGTGGAGGATTTCGGATCTCCTAAAGACATCCTAAAGCAACAACTAATCTTCTATCTGTTAGTGAATATATTCCTTATTGAGCGCTCGTCCAATGATAAGCCGTCGAACCTAAACGAATAGTTTTTTAGAAGTTTGTAAGCGGAATTCTTGCAGCTAAATGATGTACCTCGCTAGTTCCAGCACCAATCTCGTAAAGCTTAGCGTCCCGTAAAAGCCGTCCAGTAGCGTAGTCGTTAATGTATCCATTTCCTCCTTAATATCGCTTATGATTGCCAAAGCGAAGCAACGGAATAAATAAATAAATAGTCTTTGCAGAACTCCGTCAATAAGCTTATGCGAACCGAAAAGTCGTATAAGCTTATGCGAGCCAAAATTTTTTGACCATTTCTGATAACTACAATACTCTTTATTTTCAGAAATTGAGAAAATTCCTGGGATTTACGAAAAATTTCCGCACTCTTTGCCATGTGTTTGATGGAACTCACTATCTACGAGATTCAACAAGAGGTACTAGGCTAACTTAGACAGGGACTCCTGAATAAAAAACTCATTCTGCCTTGCCCATCCCAGCAACAAAATATCTTATTCCCTCCCTCTAGTCAGACATTCCACCAAACAAGGGTTCCACTTCAAGTTCTAACGGCATAGTTATACAATTAATGAAGGGCACTCACCAAGTATTTGTATAGCATCCAAGCATACTTGCGTACATTTTTCGGCTAGGTACAGTATTACTCCGGCACAGTCCTAAATAAATTACAATTAATTGCGAACGAAATTATTCAAAAGCATTTTATTTGAAATCATTGAAACCTTATTTGAGCAATGTCCCGCATCTACCGCCTTTGCAACTGTATAGAGATAAGACCTGCAGGCATTCAATGTTGTATACATATCAGCCATTTTACTTTGGATAAGCTGAAATCAATTAATGAAGGACAATAATCGAATGTAATCGATATATTGATTTTTCACTCACCTGAAAAGTTCCTATTCGTGTACCAAACGCTTCTCGATGGTGAGCATACTCAAAGGCAATGTCACAAGCAGCTTGCATCAATCTGGAGAATTGGAATGTACAGATTATATTTTAACAATACGAAAAGATGTCCACAGAGCTTACCCTAAGGGACCACCAGAAAGGACTAAACGCTCATAGTCAAGACCCGTCATTAGCACATATACTCCTTTTCCTTCTCCTCCCATGACATTTTCCTCTAAAAGATAAATGATAAACAAAAAAATTCATTGAAAAGAGGACCAGCTCAATCACATTCTATAGCATTTCTTTGATTATCACTCTAATTTTCCATAGTTCATCAATTTAGACTGACAAATCAAGAAGAATTCAAGAAAAAAAATCATTTGGAACTTGAGAAAAAAACCCAAAAGTGATCGGTTTGTACTTACGAACCATCCTTAGAAATCAAGAATAAACTATTCTACTCACTTCCTGATTTGAAAGTTTTTTTGAAAATCTGGAGGACATACAGACGGAAAAGATTAAATTTCGTAAGAAGACAACATTACCTGGAACTTCGCAATCTTCAAAAACTAGTTCACATGTGTTAGACCCCCGCATGCCCAGCTTATTCAACTTCGGAGAAGTGGAGAAGCCTTTGAACCCCTAAAATGGTTCTTGGATTTAACATACCATATACATAAAACTTTATAGGTAACCTTTTCCACCAGGAAGCAGGTAATGCCGTGTTGATGCTTTTTTGTGTCAGTTTTGGCATAGACCACTAAGACATCGGCATCGGGACCATTTGTTATCCAGAATTTTGTGCCATTCAGAATATACCTGTAGAAACTCCAGTGGTACGCAAAAAATCATTTTTTTAGAAAGAAATTTTTAACACACTTATCACCACGCTTTTCCGCTTTCAGCTTCATGCTGACCACATCAGAGCCAGCATTTGATTCGGACATAGCTAGGGCTCCTACATGTTCGCCACTGATTAGCTGAAGAAAATTTGAGTCAGCTTGAATTTTTCTGACTTTTTGTATTTCAGTTTTATTCCAAGCTGGTTATTAGATGACTCAGCTACCGCAAAATTTACAGTAATAGATAATTATTTGATTTCAATAGAATGATTTCCAGCTACCAGTAAAGGCATGAATTTTCAAAGACCATCTTACCTTTGGTAAATATTTCTCCTTTTGCTTTTGCGAGCCATTCTTTACAATCTGATTAACGCACAGATTCGAATGAGCACCATAGGAAAGGGCAACCGAACCACTGGCACGAGATAACTCCTCCATAACCAGTACATGAGCAAAATAGTTCATATGTGAGCCACCATATTCGCCTGAGCAGCAGAAAAATTATAACTTGGACCAAAATATTGCGGAATTCACGTTTGAAAGTAAATAATTCAAAAAAGTTGAAATAGTACTTGGAGCTGTGATGCCGAGTAGCCCATGTTCTCCGAGTTTTTTCCAAAATGACCGCATATCTTTAAATGTGTTGTTTTGGTCAATTTCTTGAGCATATGGTGCCAGTTCCTTATCAGCAAATTCTCGAACGGATTTTCGCAGCTGCAAGATATGGTCCGTTTTTTTCTGTTTGTTTGTTTTTTCTAGATACAGCTTACCGCAATTTCTTCATCATTTAGACCAAACATGGTATCTTGTATTGGATAAGCTGACATCTGTCGACATGCAATAATGTGCCGAGCTGCGCCGCGAAGCATAGTCGACAGCGACATGATTTTACCCAAAATAATTTTTTTATGAACAATCACAGACGAAAAATACTGCGTACATACAGCCATTATAAAAAAGGCGGAATAAGTTTGCTGTGAAAAAAAAATGAGGAAAAATAATGAAGTGGAGAAGAAAGAAGTCCAAGTGCTAATCATACGGAATGATCAAAACGTTGCAAGAAAATCAGTAATTATCACACAACATTAGTTTTGATTTAGCATAATCAGCGCTCTGTCTTTTTCAGAATTCGTCAAAAGAAGAAGAAATAACACCTACTCTCTTTTTATGCCCGAATGCTTCTGATAACGACCAACCTATACACAGCACTACCCTTATCTAGCATATCGCTACTCGACTTGTTCGCAAATTTCAAAATGATGAGTTACAAAGGTCAAGCAATAACAATCGAACGACAAAGTGCTATCCCTTAGGACAGCTTTCTAATTTAATAAGATACTGTTTCGCTAATGAGTGAGGTGTAGATTGTTAGCATTTACACTGTTGAGAAAACGTTCGTATTTTCTGTGAAGAGAGTTTCTATCAACTCAGTATTATTAACACATTGACGACCGCTTGACACACATGGTGGTCAAGGCTTGACACACCATGTGTATCGTTGAAATGGCTACTATTTTGTGTTAAACCCACTCCGAGAGTTTTCTTTTGTGCTGGATCTAGACACAGCCTTTACTATTTTTGCCAGAATTCCAGAGTTACTGTAGGTGTACTGGAGATGAAATTACGCGTGGTTAAAAAATGTTGACCGGTCCAAGAAACGCCTTGGTCGCCAATGTGTTAATACATGGATGCGCAACCACGATTAACGGATTATGACTCTCTCTAGTCCCAGAAAAGTAGTTCTCCCAAACTTGTCTCTCTCTTCAGAATCCTCAAAATTTTCCTAGATAAACGAACAATTTTACAAGAACACAAGTCATACAGTTCGCAGCCACTAGTGAAAGGGTGATTCGTAAAATCGCTGGAGCTACAGTAGCGCTATTGAACGCGCACACCTATTACAACACGGAGCTACACTGTTTTTAGTTGAGAATCAAAAAGATTATTAGTGATTTTTTAGCAAATAGAAAATCGATTACTCCTTCTCGAGATGCCATGATCGCACTAAGAACAAGAATTGAATGCTTGGCACTTACTTACGACTGAGTTTAGAATAAGTGAGAGACTGATTTCATAGTCCTTGGGACTTTACCAAAGTATCTCAGTGTCAAACAGTGTCAGAAAAAGAAGAATAAACTGTAGTGTCGAGTAGATGCAAAATGCCACTTGATTGAAAAAAAAACACAGATATGTTCTGTATAGTGCAAGGTGAACATGACTTGGGAACAAAAATCTCTGAAAACTGTGATATACGGTTCCTATACCACAATTTGATATAAAAATGAAAATCAATTCTGGTAATCACAAAAATTTCTTAGCTCCATCGGATTTCTTTACTGATTGGACCACATACGAAGTGATCCGGATAGTGTGAGACACATAAAGTGGAAAATAAAAACAACAGTACAGCGTGTCATCAGCAGAATAAATACTTCCTGGTTCTAGATCTACTACCGGAAACTTGTACAATTGATCAACACTTTTTTGAATAACGTTTACTACACGATTGCCAAACAACACGTGCTACCTAAGGGCCAAAGGTCTCATAACAATACGTGTTGATCTTAAGAAAGTTCATTCTGCCCTTGAACTTCACTAATCACTGTTTAATGATCCTATGGTCAGAACACTGTCTTTGGTAGTGCACATCAATATCATACAGTGAGATTATTTTAAAATGACGATAGGTAAAAATTAAACTTCACATGTTGCATACTCTAAGGCACCAGAAGAAGACCAGTGATAATACTGAGAGTACAGAGTAATATAGATAATAATTTTCACGAGTTGGTAAGAGAAACAATTGGGCATAAGTGCGAAAAAGTCGCACTAATTATGAGCTGAAGTGAAATTATAGAACTAAATTACAACATTTCTTAGCTCCTCGGATTTTTTTTACTGATTGGACCACATATGAAATGAATCTGGAAAGTGTGAGACACATAAAGAAAGAAGAAGAAGATAAAAACAACGGAGCAGCATGTCATCAGCAGAAAACAGTTCTTGGTTCTGGATCTATCTCCGGAAACTTATCATTATATACACTTTCCTTCTTTGACACAAAAACCAATAGCTAACCAGTGAAAATTTCAACAAAGATTAGCAGTTCTTCCATTATTTTCATCCGCAATTCTAAGTACTTTTCGTATTTTTCGTATTATTTAGTATTTTTCGTCAGTTCAGGGTAATCCATAACCTCGAGAAATGAAATTCTGTAACTGTTTATCAGATCAAAATGTTTCGCGCGTTCTGATTGCCAACAAAATTTCTTGCCATAATTAATTTGAAGCCGAAAGCAATCACCATAATATTTGAAGCAGAAAGCAATGAAACAGCCATGTCGGAGACACAATTATGGTCTGAGAAGCACAAATTCTGGGCTCAAAATAGACTTTTCCATACAAATAAACAGAAGTTTTCTTATAGAAATAAATCATCTTAGAGCAAGAATGTGATTTTTGTTTACAAGCACAACTGTATTTTTTGACTTCAGGGAAGCCACATTTATGGTCTAAGAGAAAAGTTCAAAGACAAATTGTTTTTGATAGATATAGAACAGAACTTTTTTGATGAAATCAAATACAATGTAGGGAAGAACTGGGGTTTTTTTTTGAGACCAAGCATTTGAACATGTGCACTAAGAGTATGAAAGGAGATTCTTTTTGCCTAAATGTTACCTCAGACGCAAGCCGATTATTCAGCTACCGGAGTGTAAAAGTTTATCATTACAAAATCTATGTCAAGATAAGGATGAGATAGGGAAGGACAATCTTAGTACGTATTTGTAATTGGTCAGTTGTCACAGCTGAAGAACAGATACGCAATTCAACGTTCAAGTATTCAATCGTGTAAAATTAAAAAATCAATAAGCCATAAATCGAAAATCGTTAGCTTTGCCGATCGATATCGACAGCAAGGACATGAGAGAGTAAATTATCGCGAGAGAAGAAATGGGACCTCCTTGTGTGAGATCATAGATCAGTGCGCCAACGGCGACGCGAGAATCAGTGGCGCGACCGGTTGTCACGAACTCGCCTACGTAATCGGGTTCAATTAATCAGTTATGTTTGTAAGAGCAACCAGGAGCATTTTGAGCCTTCTGTTTGAATTCAGAAGCATTTCAACACAGCAATAGTCGAGGATGGACAGTCAGAACTACAATAAACATTTGAAAATAGCGTATAGCCAAAAATTTATGCAGAAAGATCTCATCAAGAACTTTCCACTGATGTACAGAATGTCTTTTATTGCAGTTTGGAAGAAATTGAATAGTTCTTAAAGGCAGTGTCCCGGCAGATTCGGGTTCTGGGGGATACACGTGTGGTGGGGTTCCTGGTCACCCGACTAGTACGACTTCTAACAGGTTTTCTTTTTTTTCCTTCCAGTTGAAAGGGTGTATTCTGAACTGTAGTCTGTCCGGGTTTTCATTCCAAAATGTTGGCTTCAGAATAAACGTACCACAGGAGCATTGATTTGCGTGCGCGTCCGCGTAAAGCATCTTAAGGAAATCGAAGAGTATAGGTAGGGTAGAAAGGTCTCAGCACAACTTTTTTTGGGACACCGTGCAAGTGACGCATAACCAAGGCGACGCGGAAGTGCAACACGCCATTTCGGCTTGTCCAAAATGCACAGAGTGTAGAAGATAGAGCTGACTTTCAATTAATTTTTATTGACAAAATTCATATACTTTGAATGCAGAATCCTCGTCTCACGAAGCCATTTTGCGAGTAGACGATGGAGATGGAAGGCAGTCGATCCCAGTACTTCGTTCGGGGCACGCGACAAAATTCTTTCAGACGAAGGCGCGTACTCTTAGCCACGCTGTGTGGTTTGAGTTTCCAAAAAAATTGTAGAAAATTATTTCAATTATCTACGAGCTTAAACAAGTCACTTGCAAATATTAGCTAATAACTCTTGAAAATTCCGCGAATCGTTTTCGGGGGCGGGATATCTACGCTGGTGGAAAGATTCTTACTTAGTGTTGAATGACAGAGACAACCTGCTTGGACCCTTCCGCGCAGTGGAATGCATTGCGACGGTGCCTATGGAGAGAATACAAGACACAGACAAATTACCTACCACACAACACCTACTGTATATTTGTATTGCTCATACACGCTTTGCGAACTGGATGTAAAGTTGATAAAAAATGCCTTTAGCATTGGTTGACCGCAATACTAGAGATGAATTTTTTCAACGGAGAACTTCGTTATGCAACTTTCCTTCGGCACCAAATGGAAGCTCAAAAGCACCACCTTCTTTTAGTTTATTTCCGCTCTTAGACGTACAGAAATCTGATATTCTACACAAATTGACTCGATGGACATGGAAGAAATTGTAACAAATCATCACAGAGCAAAGATCATGTAAACATCTTCAACACCAATCATGATTCTGGATAAACAAACAACTAAGTATGAAAAGTAGCTAGTATACAGAGACAAAGACACCATGTACGTGCTAAGCACACCTGCGTGGGTGGATGAGAAGATGTGCCTTCCCATTACATTTGTAATGGACAAATGAAGATTATTAAGAGTGATAAAATGGTTCTTTCCGTCAATTTGACATGCATAGTAAGCTGGATCATGAGTCAACTCCACTTGAAGAGAAATCGCATACAAACTCAAAAAGACTTACAGCAATGTTCAGCACTTGATAATATACTCAAGATACAGCAGAATCTTCGATTTCACTAGAATCAATGCTCAGGCGACGGAGGGAGTTCCGTTTCCTTGATTGTCTTTTTCTTCTTGTAGATTTCACGAGCAATAAGTCGTTGCAAGCGGCTCAATCGGTCGTGCACACTTATCAAAATCTACAAAGAGACATGAGGGACGTCGAAAAACAGCAAAAAAGTGCAAAAAGAAAACGACTGCACATGAGAGAAGAAAAATCGCAATTTTGCAAGAATCTCGCCCAGAACGTTAACATGCTGACCAGGATAGCATGTACATTTCTCATGGTAAAGTCATGTTCTAAGCGTGTGCGCTCGATTGAGTGAAAAGAGTCTCAAGTATCTGCAATAAATTTCAGGATGCTCTTTATTTTCTGGAGATTAAGACACGTGGCATGACATATATCCAAGCTTTACAAAGGAGCTCTTTCGAGGACGCTATTGAAACCAAAATAGGCTCGCTGAAGAAGTGTGCCAGAGAGTTTTAATCAATTTCGAAAATTTGGCCCATGCACAGACATATGGGCATGTCGTGTGCCACATGACTCTAGCGGACAACTTGACAGAATCTTCAATTTTTCGTTTTTGGTTCAGCCAAGACAAGGGAAGAAATCGAAAATAATCAATTTCAATTGTAACCATAATCTTGATAAAATCTGCACGAGTATGAAATCGAACGTGCGGTAAACAGAAATCAAAATAGAGTCTACAAATCAAGAAGAAAGCGAATCAAATGAAATCAAAAATAGGCTTACTTGATTGACATTATTGACTCGTCGTTTGGAATCTTGCAACTTTCCCACATAAGACTGAATGTCGTATGGCTCCTCCTGCTCGTTCAGTTCATGAAGAAACTGAAAGGATTGCATAGGAGCATTACAAGACCTCTGAACAGACTGGCAGCGATTTGCTTAGGGATCCGTCAGAGTTTACCAATGTTACCAAAGTTACCCGCGTTACTAGCGTTACTCGTGTTATCTGTGTTACCAGTGTTACCAGTCTTACGCTTGTTACTCGTGTTACTAATGCACCGCTTTTAGGCTTGAGATATACCTGACGATGGAGGTATAGCGGGTGTTGGCGAATCGCTGATGTCTGCGCTGCCCTTAGCTGCTCGTGGCTGCTGCGCTGGGTATGCTGTGGGTGCAAGAACCAAGTAGCTTTACCCATTACTATGCTTAGCTTAGGTTATTGAGGAAAGAAAGTCTTGACGATTACCAAAATTGAGAAATAATATGCGACCTAAAAAAGTCGTACGTTTTCATCAAGAAATTTTCTTTATAACAAGCATAAAATGGCGTGCCAAATGTTGCATAAACTGAGAAAATTTTAATCATTTGACAGATATCAAGCGAGTGTCACAGTTGGACCTTGGTGTGTGCTTGAGGCAACATCTGAACTATCTAGGTCATAGCAGACGTTAATTTGTTGAGGTGTACTAGTAATATCCCACTGGATCGTTTGAATCCTCTAGCTTTTCATCGTTACTCTAATTTGACTACGCAGTTGATCAGAGTATTCTTTGTCGACTTTGTCAATTCTTTATCGATTTTCTTATCGATGCATTTGCGTTTCGGTGAAAATTTGTCATAGTTCATCAGTATTGAGACTGCTCTGAAAATCCTTCAGAAGTTCAGAAATATGTTAAAAAAGGAGCAAATCCGAGCAAAATTAGCGTTAGCAGCTCGAAGCAGCTGAGAGAAGCTCACAAAAAGTGAGCTTCATATCGCGTAGCAGCGAGGAGCAGCAACGAGCAGCTGGGAGCAGCAGAGAGCAGCAAGAAGCAGCGCAGCATCGCTAGCTATAGCGGGTCTGTTTCGCGTTGGCTGCAGCAGCTAGGAGCAGCAGCGTCGCCTGGCGTCAATCGATACGCACAAAAGACGTTGCTGCTCGCAGCGTCTTATCGTCAGCTATAGCCACCCATCGTCAGGTATATCTCAAGCCTTATTGGTGTTGAATATTAAAACGACTGGTGATATATTGGTGATTATTTCACTACTTAACGCCAATAAAACGGTAACACTGGTAACTCGAGTAACACAAATACTGGTAACATCGGTATTCTCTGACGGATCCCTTGAGAAATGGTTCTGACACAATAGGGTGAAGACATGATCATCGAAGAAAGTAGATAAACGAATTTCGTCCAAAGGCATTCATGATCAGATTTGATGACAACTTCAACAAAAAAAAAACATTCAGATACAAACAAATCATGCGAAAGAGATGATAAAGTTTAGCTCACATCAGACATCTCTTTGATCTTGGTGCTCATTTCCATTTGTGCAAGACGGGTAGACCTGATCTGATCTTCTAAACCTTGAATGATCGGACCCATTGACGCAAATATCAAATCGCCACTATCCAGCGCAACTTCAGCAGCTGCCATTATCACAAAACTTCTAAAATCAAAGTTTGTCAGACTTTGTAGACAGGATTATAAAAGTCAAACCAACATCGTTTTTGACTTAGGCGTCAAAAAATAAAAAGTGCGTAACGTCCGCAGAGTACGAACTTCGCATTTAATTTGACGCCTAATATCAGAAAAATGAGAGTTCCTCATTTCTGACTGTCTTTTCGACTCGAATGTATTACGGAACCCAACAGGCATGTGCTGAAACTGAGACTTCAAAAAGTACTCCAAAGTAAAGTTCAGTGTTCACAATGAACCAATCACGACCAAAATTGACATTTATGTGTTTCCGAGGTCCTTCTTTTCAGTAACAATGTCTGTTCTGCGTAAAAGGTCAGGACACAAGGGTTACAAACAAATTTTGAAAATCAGAATCCAACGGTGAACTAGAGAGCCTGTTTTTTAAAATTATCTGTGGGTGATACTAGAAACTTGTGGGTGATACTAGAAACTCGATTACGGTCTCCCCTTCCCAGCGTTGCACGGTTCTGACCTCATGAAGGTTTTCTTCGGGCAAAATGCCGCAGGCGCATAAAAGTTGTGACCAGTATCTCCTGTAGCCATAACTAGTTGACTGGTATTGTTTCGGAGATGCCTCATGATTATTCATAGATCCATTATCAAGCAAGATTATTTACAGTCTTGTTCGCTGCAAGCTGTGCACTGTTATTGCGAGGTCAGTGTTGTCGTAGGTATATTATGTGTACGAGATATCGAAACAAAAGAACTTATGATTTTGGCATGAGCTCATTATCTAACCTTCACCTTGAACATTTTGCTGGAATTGAACTTGAATTTTGAAAAGTTTTTTGAAAAAATGCATATTGTTTTTTGTTTTGCGAACAACCATAGCTAGGAAAAAGTCGAAAACGAATAAATTCCAGTTCTGGCCATGACCGGTCCACTAAAATTCCTGACCTTCAACCTGGAACACTTTTTTGAAAAGTCACTTTTAGCTTTCAGCAACAGACATTGTTACTGAAAAGAAGGACCTCAAAAACATATAAATCCCAATTTTGGTCGTGATTGGTTCATTGTGATCACTGAACTTCACTTAGGAGTATTTTTTGAAGTCTCAGTTTCAGCACATGCCTGTTGGGTTCCGTAATACATTCGAGTCGAAAATCAGAAATGAGGAACTCTCATTTTTCTGGTATTAGGCGTCAAATTAAATGCAAAATTCGTACTCTGCGGACCTTACGCAATTTCTATTTTTTGACGCCTAAGTCAAAAACGATGTTGGTTTGGCTTTTATAATCCTGTACTTTGTAGAAATAAACATCCCAGAACAGCAGAAGAGTAAGAAGAAGTTTGGATCTAGCAAGCCAATGAAACTGCAACAATCGATTTGCATAGCAAATAATGCGATTAGGAGAAACGGACGACCGGTTATACGTATTAATATGCAAGTATACCGCTCCTCACATGTTTTATGCGAAACGGACATTGAGTGACGATGAAACAAGCAATGAACGCCATTTTTTTTAATCAATTCGTTTGTGGGAAATCCAACTACAGTCACCCAATTACTGGTCTCACACGCATTGTTTGAGAATTTAGATCTCAGCTACAGCGAAATAATCAAAGCAACACTACACTTACACTATCGGCATTTGCAATGATCAAAATTGAGCGCAAGAAACATTGTCGTGATTGCACCAACACCGACACATTTTATTTTACGCCGCATCAGTCATTTGACGGGCACACATCTGTTCAGCTTTCTAAAGGAGCCTGCAGGATCGCGAGAGTCGGACACAGGGTCAAGCAAGGGGTGTGGCACACGATCGCTGGTTACGACCCCCCCCCCCCCCCCGATTGCTGTCTTAGGGAACGACCATAGGTTGTCGGTGTTGTCGATGTTGTCAGAGTTGCCGAGGTTGCCGGTCGTCGTAGGACCTCATTATAGTTTCCACGTTTCGCGCGCTCTCTAAACTGTCTCTGACCCCGACAACACTGACAACATCGACAACACCGACAACACCGACAACCTTTGGCCGTTCCCTTAACCCACTGACGACGATGTGGACCACCGGTGGCCTACGCGCTTTTTGCAGCCAGGGACGATGTGGACCCCCGGTGGCCCACACCTCCCGCAAAGTCGTATTATTTGCAGGTCTAATATTTTTCCCACATATGAATGTTTTTTCCAATTTTTTGTATTCTTAGGACCTATAGGCTCTGTCGTTCAAGAAAATGTTAATGGTTGTATACAAAACAGTGTTGCATTTCGTAAACAAGCACGAAACCTTCTCACACTGAAAGTGTTGTGCAAAATCGCGTCGTCCCACAGCGCCGCCGCGCAAAATTAGGCGTCGTCGTCAATGGGTTAATAAGACCCCCCCCCCCCCTGAACTATATACCTAAGATAGCATTACCAGAGTTGAGAAAGAGGTCAGGCACAAGTCTTTCGAAAACAACTCCCCCACTCCCATGAAGGCCCTCAAACCACCCCTTCTTCCTCCTCTCAACCTCTGGACCTCAAAGTGTGACATTCTGGAGGACACCAGCTTTTTCCAGAGAGTTTCAGATTTCTGAGAGCTGTGCGCCCGATTTTCTGTGACTGCACTACAATCACACGTAATTTGACGGCTGATTTTGATCTGAATGGGCATATTGAAAGGGCCATAATTTTCTTATGGGTGGGGCGTTCGGCTCCAAATTTCCCGCACCCCATTAATATCAAAAAAAAAACATTTTTAGCGGATTATATGATTCGATAGCCTAAACCTTGTAGATTCCATAGGACTGTTTGGAGCCTGATTCGTCTTCTTAGCTCTGAGTAATATTTGGTGAAAGCACAGCGATCAAAAGCGAAAGATGGGAAAAACGAGATTTTGGTTGGCTTCTAATTCCACAGTTTGCAGGTCTTCTGAAGCGGGATTCCTGAGTTGGACAAAGAAGGAGTAGTGCTTTGTCTTGAGTGCAAAAATGGATAGCTAGTTCACCTTTGGAACAAAGTTAACCATGTTGGAATTTGACCATTTCATTTAGGTAGCCTAGTATCTTGAATCTTCAGAATTCGCTCACACTTTGTTTACAGGGGTTAACTGACATGCTAATTATGGATATGATACAAATATCATGTTATCACTATTATCAGATCACCCAACTACGACCCCCTCCCCTTTTGACCCCTCAATACGACCCCCCAGATGTGGCCTGCCGCACCCGACGCTTGACCCTGGTCGGACATGCGTACGGCCATAGCGCCGCGCACGTCCGATGTCACTAAAGCAGGTGCCAGACTTATCCGCCTCAACCGGTTCGTTCGGTTCATAGGTCAAATCACTACACTGTCCAACAGCAAAGTAGGTGAACCGAATGAACCTGTTAAACAGGATAGGTCTGGCACCTACCCTGAGTCGTCGGAGCACATCTGACGTGCGCGGCGCAATGGCCGTACGCACGTCCGACTCTCGCGATCCTGCAGGCCCCTATAGCACACCCTATATTCGAACATAGCGACCAGACTATTGTGATTCCCGCAATTCCTGCGGTTCGTGTAATTCTTGAGATTCCCGCAGCAGTGTGTATTGCAAAAACAATGTGTACTGGAATTCGCAAAGCGCGCCGTAGTGCGGCACATCGGCAGTCGAGAAATCAAATGAGTTGCAGGAATTACTAGAATCGCATGATCACCTCCCGGAATGGGCTGTAGGACGATTTGCACGACCGTAATGTTTTCCGTACAGGACCACCGTCCGCGACACACGCTGCGTTGTCCGGACAAAATGGGGGTTTTGGGATTTCAGTGCCATACGAGAGTGGCCCCCTCAGATACAACATCGCCCAAGCGACGTCACAGCGCTCGACCTAAGACCTAAGGCATACCTCCAGCGATTCGGCTAAATCGCGACGTTTACGCGACCTGGCAGTTTGCCAGAGGCCTTCAAATTTATCGCGCGCAGCCCTCCAATACATGAGTGCCAAGCTTCTCTGATTTGTTGCAAACCGATCAAGTAATGCCTTAACAAAGCGCTCTGACGACCCATTATGATCAGTTATTCCGGTACCAAATTGCGCAGCGACTGAAATCGCGTGAGGTATGCCTTAAGGGCCGGGCATACTTCACGCGATTTCAGTCGCGACACGATTTGGCAGTATTCCAATTGTCCATAATTCACTGTAAGCACAGTCTAAATGTACAGAAGGTAGGGCATTTTATTAACCCACTCAAGTTATACACACTATGCATGTGCAGTTTGCTAGAGTTGGTTCTGAAGACTTCTGGCAAGTTGCCAAATCGCGTCGCGACTGAAATCGCGTGAAGTATGCCCGGCCCTTAAGGCCTAAAGCAAAAAAAACGACCGGAAAGTGGGGAAACTTACGCCTTGGGGCGGGGTCCTCCTGTGAAGCGCGAATAAAATTCAAAACCAAAAGTGCAAGTCACTAGCCATCGGCGGGAGGCGGAGCTTTAGAGAGTGGGAGTTGGAATGACTCCGCTCTGGAGAGCGTCTCCTCTCCCCTGTGGCTGCGCGCTTCATGTCTGGACCCCTCTCGTGAGTGATTGTTGTTTCCACTTATGTATTCTACTGTTGTGGTGCTTGGATATGTTTAATTACGCAATTGCTTGGCAAGTTTTCATGATCTCTTTTTGAAGTGTTAAAGTGCTTTATATGTTTATTCTGCATTGCTTTTCCTGCTTATAGATAAAGGTGTGGTTAAAAGGTTTTTAGTCTTGAAGAGTATAAACGGAACATAAAGGACCGGAGTCGTGCATAAATTTCAATGTTGTTGACGTCCGCTCATCAATAAAAATTAAAGTCTACACTACGAAACCGCGGGCGTTATACTCCGAGCTGTCCGAATCTTGCTATGCGGAAGAGTACGGCCGCCACAGTTGAAATATAGGGTCCCGCAGCGACTCTGCGTCTCTGCCTTGGTGGTGACCGTCAAATTTTCAAATTATGAGGCTTTAGAAAACATATGTTCTTGACGTTTTCGCGCATTTTAAAGTGGATTTTCGGATTCAGCGTTGCGGATAACCCCCGGTAAGTGGAT